AGACTGATACTTTTCATTAAAAGTCTAATTGAGAATATGAGCTCAATTAGAAGTATGTGTGAGGGGGCTGGAAAGATTTGTTAGCAGTTAGGAGCACTGGCTGTTTGTTCTTCCAGGGAAACAGTGTTCAAATTCCAGAACTTAAATGACTACTGACAACCATCTGTAACTCCAGCCCATGGGATCCAATGATCACTTCTTCCTTTTCTCTGAAAGCATGAGCCACACATGTGGTGCAATGTATACATGAGCCAAAACACTAATTGAGACAAAACACTAATACACCACACACACACACACACACACACACACACACACACACACACACACACTTAAAAGTGAATTATGATTTGTCTGCATGTGTGTTTATGTACACATGGCTATTTCTTTTTGAAGATTTGCTTATTTATTATAAATACAGGATTCTGGCATGTAGATGGCTGTGAGCCTCCATGTGGTTGCTTTGAATTGATCTCAGGACATCTGGAAGAGCAGCCAGTTCTCTGAAAGTCTGAGCCATCTCTCCAGCCCCAGGTAATTTCTGTTACAAAATAAGTTCCATAGAATGCCTTGCATAAACTAAATTTTGACTTGCTTGAAATTTTTCAAAGATTGATAATAAAACAGTTGTGTGTGTGTGTGCGCGCGCTCTCGTGTTTCTGTGTGCGATGGGAAATGTTGCAGGGTGGGCAAACTTTAACTGGGGAGGAAAGAGAGAGAAGATAATACAGAATGAGAAGGAGGTAGACAGACAAATAACAGATAGAATATTTGAAAAACTATAGGAACCATTGTATTTTATCTAAAATTAAAATGTGTGTTATGTAATTTTATATTAAAACAAAGTGATTGTGTGTGTGTGTGTGTGTGTGTGTGTGTGTGTGTGTGTGAAAATTTAAATGAGCTGAATAAAGTTTTGTCATTTTGTGACAATGGTCCTCCCAAGAAGCATAGACTTACAAAATTCCAGTACCAGGTACAAGAAACCTTCTTTAAAGTATTTGATCAGGGGAACACAAGCAGCTCTCCAAACAATAAAGAGTGTTATGTTGATTGTCTCCTAAAATTTGAAGATAAGTCTGTATTGTTGAAGGCCCTGGACATTTTAAACTCAAACTTGGAAGAATTGCACTGGATTTTACCCAAAAACGTCCTCCCTGACAATTACTACTGTTCCTAACACATCTAAGTCCTGTACTATCTATCTGTCAAGGAGGAAAACAATCAACAGTCCTATCTTACTGTGATGCCTATGAACCTCAATGACCAGAATAACACTATATCACTTATGTGCTAGAGTGGCACTTACATCTTGGAGGTAGCCAACAGGTGTCTTATTGAAGTTGAGGGCTTCTAAATAAAAATGAATTCATGCCAAGTAGTATAAACTTACATAGCTATCTATGGTTAATGAGTTCATGCAACCTAGAGGAGAATCTATTACTACTACTTACCTAATCCAATAAAATCTGTAACTAAATTCTCAATATATATTCTTATACCAGTGTGTAAGTGTAGATCTCATCAAAGAGGTTATGATAATTAAAAAAAGGTCAAGGGTCAAGAATTTGAGATGGTTTTAGAGAGAATGGAGTGTGTGGAAGGAAGAGGGGGAGCTGGAAAAATGATATAAAAATATTACTCAGATATGAAAATTTAAAAATAGATGAGCTATCAAATATTTGAGCTAAAGTGTGTATCAAATAACCATCAACTCTTTGTATATGTGTAGCTGAAAAGAACATTGAGACTATAATTTCAAACCTTGATTCACAGATATTCAGTATTTACAGATAAGAGTTGTAATCTTATATCCATTTTAACAAGCTTCTTGGTGTTTCACTTAGAATGTTTTACACTATATATTTTATTACTATGTTCCAAATTATCTGTCTCCTAAGACTCTTGCCATATACCTCATGTGTATATTTCTATTGACAATTAATCTACCATTAATAGCCTCTTCTAGGAGTCAAGGCAAATTGTATCATTTTCATTGGGCACACTCCATGATTCATGGACAATAGATCACATATCTATTATATTAAATAATAAATGTACAGCACAAGTGATTCTGATGAATTTCCTTTACTTTTAGGGAAATTTTAAGTCTATTATCCATTCAGAGTTGACTCAGTCAAGTGGTCTATAGACTTTCCCGTTTTCCCCCAAGTTAAAAATCTCATTAGCTATGCATTCTCTCTGAGAATAACCTGACAGACACTTTGTACAAAGACAGAATTCTTCTAAATTTTCTTTCCTTTATGTGTACAACTATCTATTTCCCCCAGGTATGTAATCTAGGTAAAATTCTCTGGAGTTGTTATGCTTCTATATGAATGTTGTGAATTTTGCACAATCATAAGTTTTGGCTAGTATGAGTTGCCCAGTGACTTTGGCATTTTTCACCTTATCTTAGTTTGACAACAGCTTAAGAACACTTGGAAGCCAGATATGCTGAGAAGGCCCAGAACCCAAGGGAATGAACAGCATCCATTTGACCTCCAAATGGTGGAACACAGGAATCTACTGAATGCAGAGGATAGCTAACAAGTGGCAGAGAAAGATCTAATCCAGTCGAAATCAAAACCTGTCTTTTTTTTTTTTTTTTTTCTATTTGAATCATAAAGATGACCTATTGAAAGAGATCATGAAAACTAGGGTATCAAACAGATTCCAGTTTGAGATTCCTTTAAGAATATTCTTGCATATTAAGCAATGTCATGCAATCATGAGTGTTTACTCAGAGTAACTGAATGTCTTGAATTAACATAGTGGCGCTCCAATATAGTCAAAAGTTTTTGAGAACAAGGTCATATATTTTGGCTAAGGCTGAACAACACTTGACTGCCAAGTCAGCTTTTTTCTTCTCCTTACTATTATTATTTAGCATGGGAATTTTTTTTTTACCAGTGATAATATCAGAATTAAATGTGGTTGAACATTTACATAGCTCTTACTACCTGATAAATTTACTTTGTTACAAATATTAGCTTCCATGATTTTCTTCCTGTTTATCATTGTATATAAATTCCTTCATCTCTGTATGCCTATTTAATAAAATCTAAAAATCATGGGTATAACAATTAGTCTTTCCACTGGCCACCTGAGTTTTGCCTGCCATGTTAGGACCCCCAAAAGATCACACAGGGATTAATGTTATTACAATGCCGCTGGCCAATGACTAGGGTTCTTTATCTATATATTTTATAAAGACTTATCTTATGGAGGATGCTGGAGGAATGCATCCTCTTTCTGGAATCACATGGTGGGTCGACAGAGAAGAGAGCAGGAGGAAGAGAAGAGAGTGATTTCCTGTTTGTCCCTGCTTATATTCTGAGTCTGCCTTCTATGTCATTTCCTGCCTGGACCACAATACTAATCTTTACTGCATTTCCCAGAATCCTCCTTGACCCTTAGTCCTGCCTACCTTGTTTTTCTATTGGCCAACAATACTTCATTCAACAACCAATAAGATAAACATACACAGAAGGACTTGCCCCATCATCTCCTCTTTTCTGTCTTGTGGGTTTTTTGTTTGTTTGTTTGTTTGTTTGGTTTTTTTGTTTTTTGTTTTTTGTTTTCTGAGACAGGGTTTCTCTGTGGCTTTGGAGCTTGTCCTGGAACTAGCTCTTGTAGACCAGGCTGGTCTCGAACTCATAGAGATCCACCTGCCTCTGCCTCCCGAGTGCTGGGACTAAAGGTGTGTGCCACCAACGCCCGGCCATCTCCTTTTTTCTGTCTAAATAAAATGAAGGGTTTTAACATTAACATAGTAAAATACATAACAAAACAGTTATCAAGGAAGAACTACAGTTAAGATATTTAGTTCATTAACATTTATCAAGATTTTAAAGAAAATATTCTATCATCTATCCTATTTTTGTGAGTATGAAGTCTTATATGTAACATATCTTTTATAATAACTAAAAAATCTATAACTATATCTATTTGTCTTCAACTCCATCAACAACCACAGAAGGATAATATTTAAACTCTAGAACCAACAGAAACATCTCGCTAACTGGATAGTCACCTGAAGTTCCTCTGTAACTTTGGGGCATCTTTATCCTATACACCACAGTGTGTCTGGCAGATTTCTCAGTGAAGCAGGAAATTTTAAACTGTCCATCTGTATTGGCAGTTTGTCAGTCATTTTTCTCTATGTCCTGTAGAATGTCTGGCAGACTTTTTCAATGAAGCAGGATCCCTTTAGGACTGTAAGTTTAGCAGTCACTTTCTTGTGGGTCCTGTATGTCCAGTTTATACAGCAACACTCAAACAGTGCAGGCAAGAAGGGTTTCTTGCCCAAATGGCTAGTCTCACCATATTGAAAGCAAACTCCATAATGATTTTCTTCGATGCCCATCTTCCTCTCAGATGTAAACGGTGGGTGTTCCCAGGAGCAGTTGTGTCTCATTGTCATGAAAAACCCTAAACCACTTAAATACCATATATTCTGTAGGTCTTTGAAAGGTTTGAAGAATGTCTATCCATCTCAAATTCATCTTTGTATAACTAGAAAACCTAACCAACCTAATTATAGTCACCTAATGACTATTATAGGTGACTATATAATCTGTATTTAATTATGCATTACATTCTAAAAGATCTGTATAAATACAATACCAAACAAGAGGAGAAATAACAAAATTAACCTTGAATTTGTATCAATAAATGAAAATCCATACCAATGCAAAGTATTAATTTCTATATCCTATTCCCCCTTGTTCCTTTAAAAAGAGATTAACTGTGAATATTTCCATTTATAACTAACCCCATTTAAATGAAAACAAACATTTATAAACAATATTTGGGAATGTGGGCATCGCTCATTCCAAGCTGCTTCCTGCTGGTAGGGGGTAATATCCATACCATGGAGATCATGATAAAACACAGAAATCTGACCAGGTTCTTGTTTTTGTAGTCTTCAAGGCTGCATCATCTTAGCTGTTTTAGATGAAGGATCAGTTGGGCCACTGCTTCAGGGGGTCTTGGTTAAAAATAAAGAATGCTTCACGAATTTGCCTGCAATCCTTGTGCAGGGGCCATACTAATCTTCTCTGTATCATTCCAATTTTAGTATTCTCTCTGTGGAGCCACCATGTGATCCCAGGAAGACAGGACACATTCCACTGGTGTCCTTCATAAGATAAGTCTTATAAAATATATGAATTTAATAGTTATGGTTGATAATTAAGGCTGAGTTAGCAAATAAGAAATCCTAGTCATTGGCCAACACCATTGTACCTAATATAAGTCTCTGTTATTTGGGGCCATAATGTGGTGGGTGCAACTCTGGCGACATGGCATAAAAACTTATTGTTACACATGGATTTGTTCAAGGGGAAAAAAAACAAACCAAAGGAACAAACCAAATGAAACATAAACCTGTGTAACTCTGTAAAGTACCTCAGTGAGTAATGTACTCTTCTAATCAGGTGTTGCAATACCATATTTTAGTATTAGGCAATAAAATAAGCATATAAAGCATAGTTCTGAAAGATGATGAGAAATGATGAAGAAAAAAAATATAAGGATATTTTAAAATGTTAGACATTTTTAAACATTAAAGAATCATGTTTGCAAAACAAAACACTCTTGGGTCAAATTTGAGTTCTTTACTAAAACAATTTCTAACTTCTATCCATGATTTAAAATGGAACTTCCTCACTCATCCAGCACAAAATATTGCTGACAAGTATGTCAGAGAAGGGAACAATTGAAGGGATCCAATAATCCATTTAAATCAAATGAATCAGTTACTGTCCATGCAAGACTCTTTCATGGAAGTTAACATCTCTGGAAAAATGTAGACTTTCCTACATCACTGCAACAGAGGAAAGAAAAGTTGGGAAGAATGAATCAGAAGACAACCCAGCAGTGTCTTGTTTGTGGCTGTACTGTGGTTTGGCTCTGAAGAAATTACCTCACAACATACAACTGAGAATTATGCCTTTGTGGCAGATGCATTTTTATTTTTTTCCCTGCCATGAATATGTCTGAGAAACTGCAAAATAAAAATGCAAAATAACAACTATATTTAGATACACTCCCACACAGACTCTAAAACTTAATATTTCACTGAACACCACATGCAAAGACTGAATTAATATCCATAACTCTTCCACATCACTCATGCTTCAAAGGTTTGTCATTATAGATTTCCTTGGCCTATATACTTGCAAAATTAGCAAACAATAGTAATCTTTCTTTAATATAACACTAGATGGTACTTCATAAGAAAAAAATCACTGGATTTATTTCTCTATGGACTCTATATATTCACAGAATTATCATCGATGTTGCAGTAAATGACAGATATCCACCTAATAAAAATTAAATACATATGATTTGAAAACAATTATTTATAATCCAATGTTATGCATCTAGATATGTATAACATTGAAGTCATTTATAATATAGTCTCTCCTCAACACTTCGATCCACCAATTATGGGATGTTATAAATCACTAAGCACCTGTGACCATCAGTTTATCTACTTTGTCCCACATAGTATTAATGTTGTTGACTGCTTAAAATCTACTGTCATTCTAACATTTTGTGATTCTTATTTGAACTTGTGTGTTTATGCTTACGTGCATGCATGAGATTGAATGCACATTGATTTTGAAAGTTATCAAACTTTTAAAGTATAAAAATATTATACATGCAAACATAATAAGATTATAATAGATACTTTCAATTTTAGGCCTGAATTATAGATAGTCTTAGAAAACCAATTAATGAGTATGATAATGCATTCAATTGACTTTTACTGAAGAACATACATGGAATAGTAGAAAGATAAAAACAAATATCACAGTTGCTTTATTTTATAATATCATCAAAGAATGGGTTTTAGTGAAGAATTTTTTTCTATGTCAGTTATTCTCATCTTTCCTAATGCTGCAACACTTTATTACTGTTCCTCAGGTTGTGGTGACTCCCAAATATAAAATTACTTTTGTTGCTACTTCATTTTTGTAATTTTACTACTGCTATGAATCATAATGTAAATATCTGTGTGATGTTCTCAGGTGACCCCTGTGAAAGGTTTATTTGACCCAGAAGGTGTCAATACCCAGAAGCTGAAAATCACAGATCTAGATGAATGTTGGTATCATCAGTAATAGTGAAAAATAGGTATATTTTATAGTTTACATATGCATTTCAAGGTAATATGACCAAGATATAATTTTGACTATATATTATGTGAATTTAATGAATTATTTTATATGAAATAGGTATGGAAGAGTTGTAAGCTCAGCACTATCATATTTTCTTTAGACGATTGCAAATATTGATCCATAAACCAACACTGGGGTAAGTGTAAATGATTCATGCAGAAAACTATGGAATACATTCTCAGGCACCATCTCAAGTCTGATAAAGAATTTCTGAGATTTTTGTTGTATTTTGTTTCATAATCTCAATGTGGTTGGTGTACTACTGAACTTTAATACACAGTTTCAGAAACTTTCAGAAGGAAGGTTAGATATATTTGAAAGCTACTCTAGGAAACTCAGAATGAGATTCAAAGTGAATATCAAAATATTATGATGATGTGTGGTGTGCTCTTCCCGAAAGAGACTATGTATCCTATTCCCAGCATTGTTGAGTTAGTTGACTGTAAGTTTTTTTATAGAGTTGGTGCCTCATTGATGTTTTCCTGTGCACTTTGGCAAGTCTATTGTTGTTGACCTTCTGCAACTCATGTTTGGGCAGTCATATTGGTGAGACTGTATATGTATAGCTTCTATGAATCTGAGATACATTCTCACAGCAAATTCCTTGATCTTCTAACTCTTAAAAAATCTTTCCCCTATTTGCAATCTTTCCTGAGCCTTAAGTGTGGTAGTGTTTTGTAAACATTGGAACTGGGATCTAAAATTCTGCAATTTATTTGGGTATTGTGTGTAGTGTTCACTCTCTTTTGCAAAGAGAAATGGATTTAGTGATGACTGCACCTAGCTATGGGTAAAAGCATAAATGTTTAAATTATTGTTAGGTATTATGCTAATTTAGTAAGGCAGTTGTTGTAAGTTCTTATATAATATCCATGACTTCATTGCCATTGAGTAGTTGGCTAGGTTTCCAGTATCAAATATGGTATCCTTCTTGTTGTGTAATCCCAATTACAGAGCTGATACTTACCACCAAGGTATGAAGTAAAAATGGGCATCCTTGAAAATATGCATGCCAGTTACATTATACACACTGATGAGGTTATATTTAGGAAATATATGCAGTAACCATTCATGAAGAAAACAATTCATGTATTTGAAAGCAAGGACAGATAGGGTTTGGAGTAGGGGAAAGGGAAGGGGACAAAGGGAAGGGTGTAAATAAAGGGGGGAAAAAGCCAGGTGGTGGTGGTGCATGCCTTTAATTCCAGCCCTTGGGAGACAGAGGTATGTGAATATCTTTGAGTTCAAGACCAGCCTGGTCTACAAGAGCTAGTTCCAGGACAGCCTTCAAAGCCACAGAGAAACCCTTTCTCAAGAAACCAAAAAACATACAAACAAACAAAAAAAAGAAAACATTTCAAAAAAAGAAAGAGGGAAGTGGGGCAGGGAAAACTTGGAATTATTTTATAATTTAAAATTTATATATAATTAATATATAATTATAATTGAAAGTAAAAAAGAAAGAAACTATAGAAAACACTTGCTAGGAGGGAAACATGTTTATCTATAATTTTGTACACCAACAATGGCATTTGTTAGTTCACATCTAATAAAGCCCTCTCTAGGAATGTACCACTAGGAAGTTCCTTGAAAACTAAAACAATAAAAAAGTTAGTAAACGGCTGGAAAGGTAGATCAGCAGTTAAGATAAGTGGTTGCTTTTCTGGAGGATCTGGGTTCAATTTCCAGTGCCCATATAACAGGTAACAACCATCGGTAACTCCAGTTCTCAGAGATACAGTGCTTTCTCCAAGTTTCCACATTAACTTCCCTCTACCACACACACACACACACACACACACACACACACACACACACACACACATGAAGGCATAGCACCCATGTATATAAAATAAAAGTAAATAAATCTTTTAAAACATTAGGACAAATATAAAGTATGATCTTATATAATTATGTCTAGTACAATCAAAAGTTAAGAATTCCATGTAAGGTCTGATTTAATTGAAGATATTCCCTTGGGCTGGATAAATGTGACATGGGTGTCTGTATGGATGATCAAATAATGATGGGGGAGGTAAAAGTGGATAAATACTTATGTTGATGAAATAATTTTACTGAAATTCTCTGAGAAGAATTGAATATTTGTGTGATAATAACTTAATGATAATTTAAAGTTATCTGGCTAGAGTGCAAAAAATTTATTTTTGATTGGCAAGAGGGATTAGAATTCAATCAATGGGTTAAAGTTGGTTATAGAAGTTAGTCTCTGATAATAATGATACTAGAAATTTTATTTGAAAAAATGTCAGTTTATAATACTTAAATAATTACAGTTCCTTAAATATATGGATTTTAAAAATGTTTAAAACATAACCAATATATAATATTGGTTCAAATTTGAGATAAAAGAAAGGTGTAAGGTTTCAATTCATCAAAAGATAACTGTGTATGATTAACTTAACTGTGTTGAAGTACAGATAATTTTCCTTGATGAGATTTTTTTAATACCAACTCCTTCAATGGTTTGTGTGCTTGGAAAATTTCAATATAACACATTTTAAAAGTCTAATCTAAACACAGCAGAGACACAAGTAATACCAGGGTAATGAGACTCCTACCCACAAGAAATATGCACACCTAGAAATATTGCTCACTAGACTGGTGGTATCAAGGTTTAGTATATAAAGACTTATACTGTCAACCTGCACATGTCCATGAAGGACTTCTTGCCATGCTTTATATCAACAATTCCTAGAACCAAAAACAACCTATGTGACTTCAAACTCTACTATAAAGTGATACTAATAAAAACAGCTTAGTATTGCCATAAAAACAGACATGTGAACCAATGGAATAAAATTGAAGACCCTGATATTAGTTCATACACCCATGAACACCTGATTTTGACAAAGAAACCAAAATGGTACAATGGAAAAAGAAAGGCCTCTTTAACAAATGG